CTTTCCCGAGGAGGGTGGGGAAGCACTGGGCTGGGTTCCCTAGGGAGGGGGTGGAATCTCCATCCCTAGAGGATTTTAAGTCCCAGTTTGACAAAGCCCTGGCTGGGATGATTGAGTCGGGGTTGGTCCTGCCTTGGGCAGGGGGCTGGACTCGGTGACTCCTGAGGGCTCTTCCCACCCTAGGATTCCAGGATTCCGTGAATCGTTATGGGTAGGTATGAGCCTTTGCAGGAGCAAGCTTAACTCAGGATCAGAAGATATTCCCCGGCCTGTGTGCTGGGTGGGAATGCACCAGGAGTCATGACAGTCACAGTGGTGGTGATGAAAACGAGGATGATGATGGGGCAGATGTCACCAGTCTCCCAGAAGGACATGGGAGTGTGAGTTAGTTTAGACCTAGAACTAAATACTTTGGAGTGTCTTCCTCTCTCTTCTGTTGCATGTCAGTGTTTGTGGGATTATTTACCGGCTTCATAGACTTGTTAATAAAGGGACTTCTGCAAATGATATTTTGTTTCTCGTGTGTTATTAGAGTCTTTCATTCTAATGATACCTGTGATATGCCTGATTCTGTAGCCCTCAGACTGAAAGTTTCTCCCAATTTTGTATCAACCTTTCATGGGATTTAAGCACCTAACTCCATTTGAGAAGGTTGAAATCAAACCACTGTTGGAAACGAAGAATGCCTGGGGCCTTTTAAAGGGAAAAGTGACATTTTCCATCGAAACTTACAGATGAAAAATTAATTTTCAACATTTTTTTTCTCCACAGAAGTAATTTTTGTGTAACCGCCACCAAACCCACTGAAGCTGACAAATCCTGGTTCTAGGTGGCACATTTTTGAGCTTTGGCAGTTCATTGAAAAATCAACCATTGCTTCCTCAAAATGCTGGCGACTGATTTTGTTTCTTTCTTTCTTTCTTTCTTTTAGTCAAACAAAAGGAGTCCTCATTGACTATCCACTGTTTATTTCCACCCATTTTTCTTAGTCCTTCTAGTCAAATAACCTCTGCTCAATACACAACTTACTATCAAACCTTATACACTTTATCGGGGCGGACTGGCAATCAAAATAGGCCCAGGAAATGAGAACAGCCCTCCCTATGATGTCACCCCTGCGTGCCGCTCCCCCTTCCCCTGTGTCCAGGGCCAGCTCTAGGGCTGTGTCTACACTTGTGGCTTCTTGAGCCAGAACGGCTGTTCTTGCGCAATAATCCGCCGTGCATCCACACTGCCCACCCGCTCCTGCGCAAGGAGATGTACAGTACGGCGTGGTAAGAGACGGCGTCTTGCGCAAGAGCTACGCTCTTTTCTTACAAGTGTAAGCTCTCTTGCACAAGAGCTCTTGCCAAGACAGCTTCCACTTGTAAGAAAAGAGCGTAGCTTTTGCGCAAAAAGCATTTTAGCTATAGAGTTTTCTTGCGCAAGAACCCCTGCCACGCATCCACACTGCCATGCGCGAGGAGATGTACAGTGCGGCGTGGTAAGAGACGGCGTCTTGCGCAAGAGCTACGCTCTTTTCTTACAAGTGCCAGCTCTCTTGCAAGAGCTCTTGCCAAGCTTTCTTACAGCTTCCACGTGTAAGAAAAGAGCGTAGGTAGCTCTTGCGCAAGAAGCACAAGTGTGGACGCTCTCTTGCACAAGGAAGCTATTTTAGCTGTAGAGTTTTATTGCGCAAGAAGCCCTGCTGCGCATCCACACTGCCATGGGTGCTCTTGCACAAAAGCATGTCTCATACATGGCAGTGTGGACGTGTTCTCAGCTCTCTTGCAAGAGCTCTTGCCAAGCTTTCTTACAGCTTCCACGTGTAAGAAAAGAGCGTAGGTAGCTCTTGCGCAAGAAGCACAAGTGTGAACGCTCTCTTGCACAAGGAAGCTATTTTAGCTGTAGAGTTTTATTGCGCAAGAAGCCCTGCTGCGCATCCACACTGCCATGGGTGCTCTTGCACAAAAGCATGTCTCATACATGGCAGTGTGGACGTGTTCTTGCACAGGACTCCTTGCACTTTATTCATGTCCTTCCCAGCGCCCCGGGGCCAGGCCAGGCTCGGGGCGGCTGCGGGCCGGCCCTAGAAATGTGCTGGCCCTGCTCCCAGGAGCGGCAGCCCTTCTGACTACGGCCCACCAGGAAATTCCTGGTATCCCGCCGGGCCAATCCATCCCTGCACTTTATTCATGTCCTTCCACAGAGCAGTTTCCTTCCTACCACTTTCTTCAGGGCAGACTTCACCTCCTGGTTCCTCAGGGTGTAGACCAGGGGGTTGAGGACCGGGGTGACAGTGCTGTACAGCAGGGTGGCGATCATGTCCGGCTCCGGGGAGTCACCCAGCGAGGGCACTATGAAGTTGAAGGTGACTGGCACGTAGAGTAAAGTCACCACCGTGAGGTGGGAGGAGCAGGTGGAGAAGGCCTTTTGCCTGCTCTCCCGTGACTGCACCTTCAGGAGCAGGAAGGAGATGATGTAGAGGTAGGAGAGCAGCGTGAGGCTGAAGGCGATGACAACAATGCTGCCGGTGACGATGTTGAGTACGATCAGGTTGAGGTAGATGCTGCCGCAGGCCAGGCTCAGCAGGGGTTTGATGTCACAGAAGAAGTGGTGGACATGGTTGGGGCCACAGAAACGCAGCCGGGAGGTCATGACCGTGTGCATCAGGGCATGCAGGAAACCGCTGGACCAGGTGGCCACGGCCAGGAACAGACAGGCCCGTGGGCTCATGACCAGCGTGTAGCGCAGCGGGTTGCAGATGGCCACATAGCGGTCATAGGCCATGACGGCCAGCAGAATGGACTCACAGCTACCCAGGAAGTGGAAGAAGTGGAGCTGGGCCAGGCAGCCGGTGAAGGAGATGGCCTGGTGCCCGGAGAGGAAGCCAGCCAGCATCTTGGGCACAGTGACAGTGGAGAAGAAGATGTCCAGGCAGGAGAGGTTGCCCAGGAAGAAGTACATGGGGGTGTGGAGCCGGGGCTCAGCCAGCACCACGGCCAGGATGGCCCCATTCCCCATCACGTTGCCCATGTAGAGCAGCAGGAAGAGGGCAAAGAAATAGCACTGCAGTGCCGGCGCATCGGTGAGGCCCAACAAAACAAACTCACTCACATCTGTCTGGTTCCCCATCCCTGTCGGGGGAAAGGACAAAGCAGGGGGAAGTGAAAGCAACTTAAGGTCCCACTACGTCCGTGCTGCTGGTCCCATTCCACATGCGATGCCGGGGGTTGGGATTGGATATTCCGGATGGCGGGTTTTCATTCTGCAGCCTTCGGTACTTGCTGTACCCAGGTATCACCCTGCAGTGAAAAGGGAAAAAATAATGACTGAATTTTACTTTTCTGTATGGCGCTTAGTTAGATAGAAAGATAGATAGATGAGGTGTATGGGGCTAGATAGCTAGATAGCTAGAGTGTATTGAAGAGAGAGAGAGAGAGAGAGAGAGAGAGAGAGAGAGAGAGGGAAAAGGTAGATGAATAGATAGATCTCTCAACAAATAAATACTCTACTTTGCTGATATTGTGGCGAAAGCCACTTGCAGAGCAGGGATGCCAGCAAAGCACAACCCCCTGTGTCTTACAGCTTTTGCAGAAGGGGGTCTTGGAAGAGACTAAACATTTCAGAGCAGTGAGTTTGAAAGTCTTGTGGTTCTCTCTTTATTTGTCCCATTTTCCATGAAAAATTCAAATAGTTTCACTGAGCTGCCATGCAAAAAACTATACTGTGCAGAATGTGCTGCCCATTGAATTCCATTACCGCGTTGGTGAGATTTTCAGGGGAAAATGTTGACCCCACCCCCGGTGTAGTTATTGATGGATTTCGGTTACCTGCCCCTCTCCCAGGGATGAACAGGAGGGGCACGTGGGGAAGTGTGGACACAAGCAGAGTAGGACTGGAGCTCGCTGTGGGAGTTATCGTCCCGGTCCAGGAGCGCCCCTGTATTCTTCCCTGGCAGGCCATCTGGAGCCTCTTTCTGGACGCCTGCTCCGCGTCCGTCCCCTTCCGTGGCTAGAGAACACACCTGCTGCACTCCTCTGTCCAGGCTGCACAGTGAGCCAGACTCCCTCAGCCTGCCCGTGTCGGGGCTCCGTTGTCCCTTGGAAGGCTTTGAGCAGAGACGTTACCACACAGTGCTTTATAAGCAGGCACATTTATTGCCAGGTGAAAGCACTGCAGGGAAAACATCTTACACACAATAAGTAAAGCTACAGGCATGCAAAAAAAAATTGCTGCTGTTGCCCCAAATCCAGCCCCAGACTCCGGTAGGTGTCTGTCCTTCCAGCATGCAGCTGGGTTTCCGCTGTGGTCACACCTGCAGAACTGTCTCTGAGAACCAGAACACCGATGGATAGTTCAGTCTTTCCATTGGACAGCTGGGACTTCCGAGCATAGCTTCATGTAGCATGTGATCAACAGCCAACTGCCCCAAACGCAGGGAATAGCTGTCAAAGGCTGGATTTTTGCATAATCAGAGGCAGAAAATTGGCATTCACCTCTCCCTACATATTCCCCACTTAATGCTTTTTATCCCAGAAGTGTGTTCTTCTCTGGGACATCCTGCAGTGTAGTCTGACGTCCCATACCCGTCACATCTCTGCTGCGGAGTCGATACTTATAATCCTGGCCCACATCAACTAGTCATTTAATACAATGGACCCCCCAAATTCTTCAGCTGAGTCCAGGCAGGTATCTGAATACACTACACAGACAGGAGGTTATGTGCTTGGAACTCTCTAGGATATTAACAGGGTGTAGGGTTGAATAAGCAAATAACAGCACAATAGCGTATTTCCCATTGTGTCTACTATGATTTGTAGTGTGCTGACAATTAGAGGTGCTAACTTAGTTTATAGCCCTGCTGACACTGTAGAGACACGCATGAGAGGCAGCCTTGCCCCACTCCAGTGCATTCAAAATCTACATGACAAAGAGAGACAAAGGGTGTGTGGGGAAGCAAAGAGAGAAAACCACATACACAAGGTCACACTACAGAGGAGTGATCATTGGAGTCCTACTCTGGTGCCATCAGACCAAGATGAATATTGTAAACTGAAATGTTACATGTTCTGCCCCACCCGAAAGTTAGGCAGGACTCTTTTGGTGGGATTCTTTGGCATAAGTCATACGTGCGCTCGGAAGGTTTTCTCAGTAAATGTCGGCGAACAGAGTATTCAATGAACACACACAAACTGATGGAAAAGTATTTCCACTGACAATCGCAATTTAAACATAGGCAAAGTTAGAAAAATGCAGCTTGAGAATTTCTTAGAGACCCACCTCAAGGGGCATAAAATGTGTTGGAATAAATGCTGCCTAATTATGGTTCAAGTATTAGCCTTTTACTGGTAAGTGTCAATTTCACCACAGAACACGCAAACCAATAGGGAAAAATTGCTATTGATAATAGAAATGTACAGATAGGCAAAGCAAAAAAAGTACTCCTTGAGAACTCAACGCTTGATGTAAGGTTAGTTACTTTGTATAATTTGGTGGGTGATGCCAGTGCCGGATTAAGACACGCTGATGCCTTAAGCTGTGTCAAGTTGAAGAGGCCCCACAGCATTAGCAAAAAATGAAATTTAGGAAATGTTTTTGTATTTAGAGGCCCCTCATAACCTGAGGCACTAAACTGTATCTTACTTAGCTTGTGCATATATCCGTTTTGACCCTGTCGTGACACAAGGATTATTTGACCCACCTTCCTGCAAGTATGAAAACTGAAATGGTGCCGTTTTAGAGAGGTTGCCATGTTAGTCAGTTTCAGTAAAAACCTTCAAGGCCAACAGATTTATTTGGGCACAAGCTTTCGTGGGCTGGATGCATCTGACGAAGCGGGCACCAGCCCACGAGAGCTTATGCCCAAATACGTTTGTAAATCTTCAAGGTGCCCCAGGACCTTTCCTTGTTTTTAAACGTATAAAACGTTTGCAAACAATCATTAATATTATCCATCGAAACCCAAACCTGAATTCTGCCAACCCTCACTACTCCGGATGTCAGACTAGATGACACTAATCATCCTGAATGGCCTTGAAATTCGCGAATCTGGTAAACCTATCACCAATGCGGTGCTTTCAAAGGCCTAGTCTAGAGGCCTACCTTACTTGTCAGGGTAATGTACGTCTTTCCAGAGCATTGGCTGTTAGGGCTTCTTGCCTTAGCAGAATTTGAAGCTTTTCAAAAGGAGCCTGCGGCAGTTTGAAAATCCTCCCCTTGCTGACTCTTGAAACAGGTCAGCCATGGGCCGGGCTGGTCTTCATTGTCACAGGAACCAACAATGACTGGAGCCAGTGGGCACTGAGGAGAAATAGCAGGACCCTCTGTTCAGAACAAAAGAGAGACACAAGCTCCTATGGACTTGAACTTCTGGACACCTGGGCTCAACCTGTGAAACAAATGAACCTTTTTATCACATTCACACCCTGAATTGTGGGTGGAAAATAATCTCCATTCTCTAGATGGCTCCTCTGGGGCAGAACTGCTGGCCCGCAGGAGAATACTGGCCTGAGCAAAACAAGCCACGGGCTCTCCGCAGGGAATAAAGTCGAGCTTTACTGTGCGGGCGGGAGTGTCTGAGAAAATAAATAAACAAAGCCGGGGGCCTAGGGAGTTAGACACTCAACTCCCAAGGAATGAATTTCAATATCCCAGGCTAAATAAATAAAACTCTGATCGGCAAATATTCCAGATTTTACTCATGTATTTATTTTAATGGTTTGAAAACCGCTGAGTTTGTTCCATCGTGATGCTGTATTTGATTCCTTGTGATTAATTGTTCCACTAGACCATGAGGGTTAGAAATGATTTAGCAAATTTGATGCAAGTTGGCCGGGGAGTAGGTGGTGGGTGGGGAGCTGTAGCACCAGGGAACAGACACAGAGCAACTCAGAGTATCAGTGTGTCAAAGAAGTGAGCAAATTGTCCCGGTCTACCCAGGCTTGGTAATGACTTGTGGCCGGAAATGACTTGTAGCCGGTAATGACTCGTAGCCGGGAGACCCTCCCCACTACAGACATGACTGAGAGTCTGAGGGAAGCTTTTCGGATGAAAAGTGGAAAATGGCCTTTGTGCTGCCCGCACTGAAGTCGGCCAGAGTGCTTTTCAGGACGTCTCTGTGCAGCTGTGAACCACAGAGCTCCATGGCTTGTCCAAGGAGCCGAGAAAGTTTCTAATGTGTTTCTGGCATGGTGATGACAGTCAGAGGACTTCATTGTGTTAGGAGATTTTGGCACCATGTTTGGGATTCCCTCCACCTCTCCTCATTTGACATGAAAATGGATTCCCAGCCATCTACAGAAAATGCTGAAACAACTTTACACTAGAGAATGTTTCAAGTAAAAATAATGTCACCTCCTCTACCAACCCGCGCTGCATCTCAGACACCTTGTTTCACAGTGTCCCATAGAAGAGTGGTTCCCAACCTTTTTTATACCGCAGACCAGCAAACTTATTCACAAACTTTTGGCAGGCTGGCAACATTTTTATTTGCATTTGTACATATTTGTTATGCAAATAATGAATATGCAAATGCAACGTTAGCCCCAACCAAGCCCCTTGATTCCCAGTGCCTAACAGTCTTTGACCCCACCCCTACGCCCTGTGCCCTTTGACCCTTTAACCTCTGACCCCTATAGCCCATGCCAACACACTCTTGACCCATGACCCCATCACAGCCTAATGCAACATGCCTTTGCCCTTTGACCCCACTCCTCTCTCATGCTCCCCAGAGCGAGGCTGCCCCCCTAGGAAGCGTGGTTGTTACTGTTGCGTGGGCGGGGGAGCAGCCTTTGGGGGTGCATTCACACCTGCTCCTTCATGCCCCCTCCATCCCCAAGTGTGTCCAACTCCCCCTCCAGTCAGTGGAAAGAGTCCCATGGATTCCCTGTCTTGCCACAGACTTCCTGAGTGTCCTCTGGCAAGTCACTTAAGATAAAATTTTCACAAGTGATTGAGGCACTTAGGAGCCGCCGACCTACCGACTCTCAGTGACTCCTCGGTCACCTCCGTGCTTGTGCCTGTGCGCCCCTCTGCGGTACGGAGGGGTGGAGCCCCAGTGGGGCTGCCATCTTACCTGGGTAGGAGGGAGAGGTGGGAGGGAGGCACCTGCTGCTCCCCCTCCTCCTGCCACCTCAGCCCCAGCATCGCCACCGGGCAAAACCTCCGGCAGCCACTGCAGCCCGGCAGCCACGGTTCACGGACCAGCATTGGTCTGCAGACCAGCGGCTGGGAACCACAGATATAGAATTTGGTCATCCCACTGAGGTGAGAAGTGCAGGTGGAAAAGGCCTTTTTCCTCCCAGTGGTGGA